CTCTCCCTCTGTCTTTTCCTCTCTCTCTCTATTCTGATCTTTTTTTCTCTCACTGTCTTTCTTTATTGTGTCGTTATCCAGCACTGCTAAAGGCCGACTGCAACCCCCACCACCCCCAGCTCAGCCTACTACCATAGGTCACATCTGGCAGTAAGACTGCTTATATTTGAGCTTATGATCTGTTACATAATGTCCCACATTGGGTCATCAATTGCAGTCAGCGGAACGTATCCACAATCTATAAAATAACTCTACTCTTCACTCCTTTTGCCTGAACTTTTGCACTTGCATGATTATCCTCCCATCACAGGAGTGTTCAACCAATCTTACCATCTCTGCCTCAAAAAGCACGGGTTACAGCACCTGAAATGAAAATATACCCCAAAGAAAAAAATCACCTTGATCCACAATTTCTTCTTCTTTCTTTTATCTCCTCTTTACTTGAGCGGCGTCCAGCATTTATCTACTAACTGCGGTATCTTTAAGATGCAGGATGGTGGGTTGTTATGGTCATTTCTATCCCCAGGCACCGTTTCAATCTGGCATAGTGAAGCACAGAGCCATCCTCTTTCAATATTCCCCATTCATTTGATGGTTATTGTCTGTTTATGGATACAGCTGGCAAGCCTGCGCATGTGTGTCATTATGAACTGTGCATAGGCTTTACAGAGTCGCCAGCTGGCCATATCTTATCTATCTGCCCCTGCCCTCTACTGTGTGTTGCCAGCAACATCAGCCCACTGTTTTGGAGCTTATAAAATCCACATGAATGTCAATCCATCACTGTTTCCCAGCAGGGCCCGTCCCTGTGGTGTTGTTAGCAATATGGCTCCAGATAGACCAGCACTGGATGTTGGCGCTTTCTGGCTTTTATTATCCAGGCTCTGCTGGGAAGATCCAATTCAGCTGGGAACGATTGGGAATATTAACACATTTATCACAGATATGTGAATAGGGGAGGGGAAGTGTGGGTAGCCATATGATTCAGCTAAATGTGAATTTTGATAAATGAGTGTTAACAGGGGGAAAGATAAGAAAGGACATGACAAAAAGAGGAAATAAGAATAAATGAGAAAGGTATGTAAGAAGAAAATATGTAAATATGACATTTTACTTCCTTTTAGATCACTTTAATGCGCATGTTTTTTTTTTAATGAATCAAGCCAAATGATCAGCTTTCATCCTAGATAAAAACAACATGTGGGGAATGAAGACCAGTTTCTTCAGCGGGTCATTTATCATTCCAGTGCTGCCACACTATGGTGGAGTGAAGGAGTGCACATCAGTGACTCCCTGTGCAGGAGTGATGTGTTCATCTAGCATGTTTCATCATGGAACTCATTTAATCTCAGACTATTGTCATTAATGAGAAAAGAAGTACTATAATTTACAACTTTATTTTTTGTTCATGTACATTTTCTTATTGCAAAACCATTTCTTTCATACTTGTCAAAAACGTTGCCATAAACTGGTTGTTGAAATGTTCAAACGTTGCTTCTTTTATCTATACCTAAATGTCAGCCTAAAGTCCAAACTGCACTGACTGATCCTGCTGAAACTTTACAATCCGATGACTCAGCCATCATTTTAGGACAAACGTCTGCCAAAAGTCACATCTGTTTAATTATGTGATTTTTGGCTGTGAAATTAAACTGGTGGACTGCTTTCTTTCCTGAACTTCGAGGCCCCCAGAAGGCTGGTGAGGTGTAATGAACCATCACTAAATGTACACTAGGTGAAAGATTTCCGAGGACTTGTGAGCAGTGGCGAGGGATGTGCAGTGGATTGACATTTTCAAAAGGCCATTGCGGCCATTTTGTCGATGAAAGACAAATTCTATGTTTTTCAATCAAACATAAGTCATACTGTAACTGAACCAAGGTATTGATTGCCAGATGTAGTTGAACTGGTAAACTTTACAGTGCCATACTATCAATGCCACCTTAGCAGAGTGTGACTTTGTACTAGCTGTGATGCACAGGAGAGGGCAGTAAAATCAACCTAGCTGCTTGCTAAACATCTGTTACTGTGATACTTCAGTTTGTAAGAAACCACAGCACATTGCGCAGAGGCTGTAATGCCCTCATGTCAGCAACCTTTGCTTTTAAACAACAATAGCCATAGAAGGCCCTTAAGGCTGTAATACTCATTATAAACACTGGAAAGCTAAATTCATGGATGGATTCAACATTGAGATAAAGCTTTTCTTCTTATCACCATTGTGGAGCAAAAACATTCAGCCTGAGTGAGCCAAGTTCGGAAGCCCTGAGAGGCAAGTGATAAAAACAAATTCTGGTGATCCAATTTTTGGTTAAAAAAGGCTTGGGTATTCTAGTAAGTACCTTCATTTTAATTTTTTCAGATGACAAAAAATGTTTTGCCAAGATAATTGTCAATTCTTTTTTTCATCTCTGAAAACATTTGGAGAGGAAAAAAAGTTTTAGTTTTTTTATTTCAAGTTAATTTTGTGTTGTTGTAATACTCATTTTGCCACCAAAAAAACAAAGTGTACCACTGCCCCATGTTTCTAATAGAACTTAAAGCATTCGTGTTTTCTTCTAGATCCGTTTTAATTTCTCAATGCACAAGGGTAAATTGTTTATGTTGGACAATATAACTATAGCAAAATTCTATAAAAATGTGGGGGAAAAAAACTTACCACCTGTTTTTTTTCTCACAGGCTTTTCACTGCTTCTGTAGAAAGCCATATGGCTATATACCACACATCAAGCAGCCATTTTAGGAACATTTCAAATCAGAATTGTCAGAATTCACTCAACTTTATTCAGTCTTCCCTGTGCTCTGTCAGTGCCAGGTGTACTTAAGCTTTATAAACAAATAACATTCTGTCATGAACTGAAACTTTAACTTTAAATTTTAACCTACGAGGCAACATTAAAAGTCAGGGGATCACCACCAAATTCACTAGGTTTCTATTTCTGCATACCATAAACGTCTGTACTGAATGTTATGGTAATCCATTAAACAGTTGTGGAGATATTTCACCCTGGACCAAAATACTGGACTTACCACACTGCTAAACTGGCTATAAATAGTGTCTCCATTGAAACTAAGGCACCAACTGAAACTTATGGCTTTCTAAATTTGTTTTGGACTAACACCAGATAATATTATCAGTCAATATTCAGTAATATACAACACATATTGTATGGTTGCAAACAAACGATTTTACATTCTTGTGAAGTCAAACTATGTAAAATGATTGAAACATAACTTTAAATTATGACTCTTGTGCTACAGTACATCACTATAATCTATAACCTTATAATACCGCTGCATTGCGCTTAAATGGCTCATTTACTGGTGACATAGTGTAGTCTCTGTGCTTTACTTAAACAGGAGGCATATAAATATCAGTGATGCCTCCCACATTTACTGAAGAGATGTCTTCTTTATGAAGTTAAGTAGTAGTGAGAGAAATGGTAGGTCACCATGGCAATCAAGCACCTTCGGAATTCCTGTTTAAAGCAAGACTTGGCGAAACACTTAAGTATTGAGTAGATTGAGTAGATTGAGGCTTTGAAATGTAAAGCTGAGGGACACTTGGCATCCAGGTCATCTCAGGTTCCAGACCTCTACTTGACCTCTACCCAGACCTGAATCTAACTCCTAACATAATAAGCTGAGACTGTTCACATGTGATAAAACAAACTTACAATTGCGACAGTATGGAAATGATACATTTCCACATACAATTCAGTACAAGTTCATCTTTCCAAGTTCTCTGAAACCTCTCAACTTCACTTTGCTGTTCTCTGAGATGTTTCTCCATCCGATCCTTCCTCTCTTGTCCTGTTTCTGGCTGGATAACTGTGCCTATGGCCTCTTAAAAGGCCTGCTGGCTACTTCCCCACACTGGATTTCTGTTTGGGGTTATGTTTCTGTGCAATGCCGTAGGGGACATGGGCAGCGACGGTGCCCATCTCGGCCGCTCCCTCCACGTGAAACATCTGATCATCAAAGTAGATGTGAGGCCTGATCTTCTCCAGCATGGGTCCCTTCGGTGCTCCCGCGAGGAACAAGGCCTCATCAATCTCCAAGCCCCAGGCCCTGAGTGTCTTCAGCGCCCGGATCCCAGAGCTGGCTGCGCTACGAGCTGTGACCAAGTATGTTCGGATAGGACAGTCCAGGCGCTGGCCTTTAGCGTAAAACTTCTTCTGGAGCTTCCCCAGTGCCTCCAGGAAGCCCTTCAGGGGACCCTGCCAGAAAGGAAGGCCGAGATTGAAGCAGAACTGGTGTTTCAGTGTCTGTATTTCCATGTTTTAATGTTAGCCTGCACAGCTTAATGCTAACTTCATTCAGTTGCTGTCTGATAGAACGATGCACCAGCTGACAGTCTGAATCCCAATGCCATTTGAAACCATTTATCATATCATTTTGCATAATTTATTAATGGGATAATCAGTTAATGACATTTATTTGTATCATAAACATCTGCATAATAATTTACAGGTGCAAGGGAATAGCAATGTAAAGTGTGGAGGATAAGTTCAAACTACTTACATGATCCAATAGTGTGTCCTCATTGTCCCTCTCATGTTCAAAGAACTTGTCCAGCCCGTGGGCCTTGAAGATGCGCTCCGATTCATCAGAGAAGAGGACGGCATCGCCATCAAATGCAACCCTTAGCTGGGACTCTGACACCTCTGTCAGCTTCTCTGGCATGAACATGGTGGCTGCGGCGATGCCTGAACGCAAACACAGACAGAGACTAGGTTGAACAATATGCACTTCAAATGGGTTCAAAAGGCAGTTAAAGGGTGGTGACTGTACAAACTCTACTTCACGTTACTGCACTTTAAATTAAACTGATAGTGAGTAGAAACATTGCTTTCTAAGGTAAAGCCAGATTTCACGTATAACTATACATTACCTTACTTTTTTTTAAATCAGCCCTATAGGTACGCTGACATCTGTAGCTTGTTAGAATCAGAATCAAGCGAACAAAAACTTTTTTCTTCCTAAGGTAAAACCTAGCCTTATTTTCTATGGCAGATATGTCTGGCCATCATTAAGACAGATTGCCACCAGTCCTAGATCCGGTAGTCCCAGTCACAACCATTAATTTAATATGGGGTGGGTTTCTTACGATGACTGCACGGAGGAGCTTGACCTTATTGGCAGTTGAGGGATTCCATTGACCAACTGTTTTTGTTGTTCTGTCAGTATAAAATTAACTGGATGGTAGCTTTTGTCCAAACGAAAAACAAAACACTGCATTTGAAGCTTTTGCAGATAAGAAAGATGTGTTTGCCGTACTTCTGAGAGGATTTGGTTTACCAACTGACGTTTTGTTGCTCTGATGGGCTGTAGGTCGATCCAGAGGCATTTTGGTCTGCGCTCCTTGAATTTCAAAAATGAACTGAGACATTGCAAACTAATTCACATCTGGGTGGATAAAAAGCAACCGAACAGAAACATCTTATTAAACCAGCTTTAATACATCACTTCACTATACACCTCACTTTGGGTTCTTAATATAAGAGGTATACTTCATATGACAGTGGTCAGAATCAGGTAAAGAGAAACATTACTTGCTAAGGTCACTTCACTCCATTGTTTTCTGTCCTTGCTGTAAATAGATAAAATCAGGAATGTTTGCTTCAAGCTGTAGGTCCAGTAAAGAAACGGCCTTCAGCTCACAGTGAGTATTAACAAATGGCTACACAGTTAATTAAAACCTCTCAAGTGAAATGTCAAGGACACTTCCTTTGCTTGTATCTTTATATGTGTGTGTGTGTGTGTTTGGGTGGGGTAGGGGGTTGTTGGTGGGAGTGCACTTCCCACAGAGTCACTGCATTAGTGACATTAAGTGTGTAAGTCACTTGAAGAATGTCTCTGAAGTCACCTTGAGAGGTACGCGGCCACGCTGTGATCATTGAGCACTCTAGTTCATTTCCCTCTGACCCTCTACACACACACAGACTGTAGTTGATAATATGTTGTTCTTTGGTTGCGAAAGCTAGAAAATCAAGATTTTGAAAAACTAAAGCATTCTGTGCTAATACACATTTTTATTTGTAATTAGTTTCCTTTATTCCTCTTTGCAGTTCTTCTAGGTTTCAACCCTATCTGTATCCAATTGGCCTGCTCAGTTTCATAATGTGCTCTTCCTTTTTGACAGCAATAATAATGCAGCATGAAATGTGCTGCTCTGAACAAATTTAAACCTTCAGAAGTGGCTGTCACCTCAAGTCCCACAAATTCCACATCAATATATTCTCTCTTAGGCTCCCTGTCAGCAGAGCATATTAACATTTTGTATTTCCTCACAAATATTGATATATACTCAGAACCACAGTCAGAGCAAAGCCAGTGTTCCCTTTAAGTGTATGTCTTGATATTCCTCGACATGCAGGAATCCATCAAGAAAATACAAAGACAGGAAATTGGCATCAATGTGCTGGTTTATGGTAATGTCACTGCAGCACCAGGGGAAGACGTCAGTCACTGCTACTCAATATGCAAACGGGACAGAAAACATATACTGGCACTCGCAGTGTGTGTGTGTGTGTGTGTGTGTGTGTGTAAGAATTTAACAGCATCATGCATATTTTCCATTTAAATTGAAGTTTAATGGCAGCACTGACATTTTATTTATCTGAAATTACATATATTTGAAAAAAGAAAGCCAAGCACTTTCTCAGACTTTTTAATCATTGTGCCCTTACAACTGCACTTATTACAGTGATAATAATAAAGCTAGATAGGCATGCTTGAAGCAAGTCAAGCCTTTGCTAACAGATTTTCAAACAGTAATGAAATGAATAAAACTAAATAGGTAGCTGGAAGGAAAGACATTCAAACTCTACTAAAGGAGTAAATGCAAACACACAGTTGGTTTAGATTCACACTACTATTTTGGTTATGGCCAGGTTATGTTTGCAGTTCATATTTGCAAATCTGGTTTCAGAAACCAGCCCTTATTTTAGTTTTGAGATGGTCTAAACTGGTTCAATGTGTTACAAATGTTAACATCTCAATTTGTTTTTTTGACTTCATTTATTATTTTTTATTTACTTTTGTTGGCTGTGTGTGTGTGTGCTCACCTTCAGCCAGCGCCTCCCTGACCTTGTCAGCGTCAGCAGACAGGTAGAGGTTGGTGTGCCAGGCCTTCAGGTAGCCAATAGGACTGCTTCCCCCCGTCATACAAAACCTCTCAATGAACAAATCTGGGGACAAGAGGAACAAACAGCAACATGGTTTTTAGTTTCAGTACATAGGCCATTTTATCATCGCTACATTAGCAGCGTTAAAGATGCATTACAATATTGTTGTTGTTGTATTAATTTGTATCTTTACAGACCACGAGAGCCAGAAACAAAACAGAAAAGTCCTTCTGCTGGGAGCTGTGGCTTTGTATTGAGTTCATGATAAGTAATTTCAGGGGGTGAAGTGGAGGGGAGATTGGGGTTAGTAAGGACAGGGTGAGAGGATAAACTTACAAGAGTGTGGGAGAGGGTCCAAAGTAGGGGTTAAGTAGAAGGGGAAGAGGGGGCTGTAGGAGGGGCATGGCTGTGAAGATCAGAGGCAGAAGAAACTAGGACTGGTGGGAAAGTGTCTGTTTGCATTTTGGCTGAGGCTCCTAATTCGCTGCTGTGGGCTGATCCTAAGAGCAGCTGAGAGACGGTATTTAGAGGAACGAGAGTAGACTGATATTAGATCCATGATTACAGAGCTGTTCAGGTAAAATGAGCTGATATTTATGAGGGAACAGAGAGAAGATGGGGGACTATAAGAAAGGGCACAGGAGTAAAGTGATAAGACTATGTTGGGGCGGAGATGTGATAGAATGGGCTTGAGAAGCATTGAAGGTTATAATGGAACAGGAATAGGTGGGTGACAGCTCAGATAGATGGAGATATAGTAAAAGTGAAGGTTAGTGTGAGTGGGAGATTAGTGAGCGTATTATGAAAAGAGAGACTGCAAGGTTATATTATATGAAAGCTGCACTAGTCTTTGTTCACATTAAAGGGGCACTCTAGCAATTTATTATTGCATTTCCATAAAGATGAAGGACTTGTGAGAGAAATATTCAATAAAAAGATTGGTGCAGCAGAAGACTTTGATTACTTTGTATGCATCACACACCACATCAGCCACATCCTACATTTCCCATAGTGCAACCAGTAGTTTAATAAACCCTCTCTGCCTGGTAAATGCCTTTGTTTTTCAAACTCTACAACCTCAGTTTGTACCACGTTTTCTTTTGTAAATGTACACTTTCAAATGGCACATCCCATTTAAACTGGAACGCCCTCTGAAGCTTGATTTCAAACGTAAAGTAATATTCTGTCTTTTGTGTCTCATTAAATCAGTCGTACACACAGTACTGTCCAACTTCTGTCTGCGATCATGTTTGTATGAGCAAAATACAGTGTAATGTGTTACTATCAACTGGGATTGCTAACATTGGCTAATGGCTAACCTTGTTTTCCGACTTGTTGTACTTGACTCCAACTTTGGATTTCTGAGGTAAATGGAACACACCAAAGGTCCGAGAAATTCTTTTTATGTAAAATCCCTTTTGTCCCTTTAACCCTGAAGGTGCGTCTTCTTCTTTCTTTCATCTTTCTTTGCCTTCCTTCCACACTCAGTAAACAATATTTCACACCCAAAATGATGCTAACACAAAAAAAGTAAGAGTCGCTCTCTCTCTTGCTCACTCATTTTAAATGTTAGTATAGCTGATCACACAATACAAGTGTTGTCATTAAGCTGCACTCACTCTACATTTGTTTGGTCACACAACTTCACTATAATAAATTAGTGATGTGATCGATGTGTCTCATTACATTACTGTTTGTGAAGCTTTGTATTGTCACAACCTAAAGAGGATGAAGACAAAGAGATTTAGCTATTTTGGTTTTGCTGTGTGGGCAGAGGTTTTTTTTGAATGCTAATGTGGACAACAACAAAGGGGCTCCTGTTTCTACAAATAAACACAAGTCAGGCATGAAAGTGGTAGGAAACTGTCTTTGTGAAGCAATGTCACAATCACAGATCTCATCTGAGACATGTTCATTCATTCCTTTTTGTACAGATAGATATTATATATAGAGAGCAAAGGGGGACTGGAGCACACTTATTAGAAGATTTCAACATTACTGTGTCTTAATCAGAGTCAAAACGACTTGAAAAAACAAGAGCAGGTGTACAGGTGTCATTGGATAATGAACTGGATTTGAAATGTATTAAAAAATCAGTGTCCAATTGCCACGCCCCTGTGAATTAATCAGTGTGCTCCAGTCCTCCTTTGTTTTCTGCAACTGAGTTGTCCTTGAACTGAGAACCTGATTCAGATGCAGTTTGCTGGAAGGGGCACGGAGAACCCTGTTACTGGATGTTATATATAGCATTTACATTTGTGGCTTTGGACAAAGACATTGGGTACCTTTTTCTAACTTGGAGCAAGGTGTAGACCTCTGTAAGTTTCAATGCTAATCGATCAAACTTAACACACATCTACACCATGCTTTATTCACCTTTATAGCAATTTTTAACTTCATCGTGGTGGTAACAGCTAGCTTTCCCCCAGCAGCTCATTGAAACAGAAGAACATTTAAGTTGTAAGTAGCATGAGCCACAATCAACTGAATGTCTGAGGACTCGCGGGACATAGATGAACAGTGAATGTTTGACGCCAAATAAGTAGAAAAACAACAGTATACTTGTGCTCCCCACTCAAAATGAACCAAAGCCCCCTTGCAGATATGTCTATGAGTTGGAAGCTCTGCAACCTAGGGGGGATTTTCTCTTCTTCTCAGATTGTTTGATTTAAAAAAAAAAAACTGAGAGGTGAAAGCTATTCAATATTTTATGAGAAAGAAAGCAAACGGAACACATTTAGAAACAATCTTGAGGATAACAAACTGTCTCCTGAATAGCTGTGAGACAGAACTCCGGTTATAAAAAAGTAAACTCAGCAGCAGTAAACTCTTGTATCCTGATGGATTTTGTTGTTATTTGGATTTGCTGCAGTGCAAAGTTGTGCACTGCAGTTCTGAAAGAAGTACGAGTCAGAATATGACTCATAAACAGGCAGATGGAGACTAAAAGAAACAGAGAGACAGTTCTTTAAACTCCCTGAGTGAACTCGCCATCATTCAAAGAACCAACTGTCTCCACAGATTTTCTAAATGATTTATTTATGTAGCTTTGTGGTCGGGCCCTGGTGAGTTTGACCCCCACACTACAATGTACCTCATCATATCAAGCGTCCCCTGCCTTTAAGACGGTTGCCGAAGCGTGGGAGTCAGTCGAGGGAAAATGTCCTCCCCATTGATGTCTTTGTATCCTTATTCCCTCCCTGCAAAAATGTTTTCATATCGTATATCTTTGAATGATTTATTTGCTTGTTCAGAAGATCTAAAACATGGTAATAGGAAAGCAGGAAACCAGCAGGACTGCAGAGACACTGCTGTCACATCAAACAAAGAGCAGCTTTAGTGTGCACTCTCATAGCAGCTAGGTGTGTGTCCGTGTAGGATATTATGCATATTGCCTGCATGTATGAGGTCTCGACTGGCTGCGGTTTTGATTTCCACAGAGAACGATAATGTCATCACATCATATCTTAATTTTCTGCGCACAGAGCACATTACAGGGCCTGTCAGTCATCCCGACCCTTGGGGTCGTATGAAGTAACAAAGTAGATGCATGAAATTTCTGGCGGGTACCTTGTCATTCAGAGCCATGTGCTACTGTTACGGTGTAGTTGTCTCTAGCCATCTGAGTGCAAGGTGAGAAGCTTTAGGCTTCATCGTGCGGCTGTAAGAAATAGCTAGTTTAAGCAGCTGATGAGAGATGAATGAGTATCTAAATGGTGGCCAGATTCAGTTTCAACTGTGAGAAGCTAAGGAGTAAATAAATGTTTCTTTCTTAATCATTTTTATCACAGTGTCACCCAGGAGGACCCAACGCTGGCCGACGGTGCAGGGACGGTGCTCAGCAAACCCGCTGTAACATCAGAGAAGCTGTGTTTTCCTTTAGATCTGTAGGAAAGGTCAGAGGTCAGGGGACTGTTTAAATGAGTTGTGCCCGTCACGCAGAGAGCCACCAGAGAGATCTAACATGGAAGCATCTGGAGGGCGGTGCGTTGCTTTGGTGGCTTCGCTCAAACCTGTTTTTGTTTCGGGCCTCTCAGATTATTCTTACGTCCCAAAGGAGGTCATCTTGAACTCACCCCAGCCTTAAGCTCTGAGGATATGAAAACATGCAAGGAGCTGAACAGGAAGTGGTCTGTGAGGAAGATGTCATCGCAGGGTCTGAGATTTCCCTGGGAAGGATCCTGTCAGTCAGCTGTTCATACACTTTGTTGTTTGTTTCTCGGCTGAGCTTGCGTCAGCTTCAGTATCCTGACCAACTTGGATTATCTCATTACATCAATGTGTGTCTTAACATCTTATTGTCCTGATTCAGTATCGCTTTATACTACGAGGAGTTTTTCACTGGTTATGAAATGACTTACATAAACAAACAAGACCATCACAGAGAAGATTGGCTATTTCTATGTAGTTATTCTTAATGCCATCGGATTCACACAAAATCAGTCAAAGAGGCAGCAAAAACACAGGGGCCGCCAAAATCAACACAAAATGTACGTTTTTTTTTTTTGTCTTTGTAGCTGCTTTAAGGAAACAGTTTGAGAAAAACTCACAAAGAACAGAGCACACAAAGTACACTAAAGAACATAACCACGAAGTGACGCTGTTTAAAAAAAAATCCATGTATTGAAACCTTAAACTTCTTATAAGTATAAATACAAAACATGCCAATTCACTGAGCAAAAGTCAGACTCCATACTCATCATAGGGATGCACCTATACCACTTTTATTCTCCTTTACTAGCCTAGCGTGGCTACACGTTTTGACATATTAGACAATTAGACAGCTGGTCTGGATTTTATAGAAATTCTTTGGATGTGTAAAACCTCTTAAAAACCCACCGGGTCACACACTTGAGCGCTCTCTAAGCTGCTTAGATTGACTACACAAATATAAATGTTTAAACTGATGTTTAGAATACTGTCACTGACATGTGTCATGTTCAGTTTGGCTGCATGGACAGTGACATAATGATTTTGTCAGACTGATTTGTGTCTGCGTGGGTGTTTGAAATCTGATATCTTACTAACATATCAATGCTATGAAGCTATTTAAAGCCACTCGTCTGTCTGCCATATTGTATCTTTTGATAGTGCCACAGAGGGTCGCCAAAGTTGTTTCTTTTGAAATTGTACACACAGGCTTTATCCTGATGACCTGCGATTGCCTTTACTGTTTAACTGTGAAAGAGATACCTGGTATAAAGCACCTGTTTTCTCAGATTGGAGCCACATCTACTCTGTAATTCGATCTCTGTTAGACTTACTGTGGTGGTTAATGGTGTTGATGAGCCGGATTCCTACGTGTGCATGGTTGTACGTCACCAAAACAATGTCAAACAGCTCTTCACTTTGTGGGTACAGCTCCCGCAGACGAGCGTTGACGGTCTCCAGGGCCTGTCAGGATACAACAATCCGCTAATCAGCTCAGGACAGCCAATTAAATATTCAGTGTCTGCACTGCATTTGTCATGTCTGTGTATTATTGTGTGGTTTTAACCTTGACAAAGGGGAAAGCAGGTCCCGGGGCGAATGGTTCATTCTCGTGTTCGATTTGGTATCGAAGATACTCCTCCACTCCTTTCTGCTCAAACACCTTCTGCTCCCGCTCGGTCCGAAACATGACCCGAGAAGACACAGCGATGGTCACCGCGTTCTCTGGCTTTGGCTGCAGAAAAAGAAAGATGAGATAGGAAATGGCGTGATGAGGAGGAACAGAAGAAAAAGGGAGGTTGACGAGCAGTAATGACCCAATGAGATGATGACTGGAAAACACAGGCGGGTAGAGGTGAAAGGTGTCCTATTTTTACCTGTGGTGCAAAACCGACCCTCAGACTAAACCTCGCTAATAAACCTTGAATGTTTTCCTTTTTATATTATGTGCTGCTGTTATTGTTTTAAAAGAGACCTCAGGGGCAGCTTCTTTTTTTAGAGTTCTTCACACATTACATGCTGGGCTACATGCAAAAACACTCTTGGCATGCCTGTTATAATACCATTACAACATCTTAATGATCTTAGAGCTGCTACAAACTGTATGAATGGAAATCTGTCATTAGCAGAATGGTGTCATCTCTAATCACGGGATAAGAAGACTACGTACATGTGACCACATGACCACTCATTTATCAACGCTTCATTCACAGTGGCAGGAAGAGTGCAATACACTGCCTGAGCTTGCACACGTTTGCTCCTGTTTTTAAAAACTCTGAGGGGCTGTTGGTTCCACTCGGTGGTCATTCTGGAGGCTTTAGTTGCGTTATTATATTGCATTAAACATTTCCCGCACACACCTTTCCCGAGGGCAACAATTTGTTTGTACGTGTGTAATTCTTATTTCAAGAACTCTAATGAACAGTGTTAGATGGCACAGCGGCCTCATGTTGCCTAATGTCTGCTGATGCTCAAGTGCTAGCGCTTGTGGGGGAGGGGGAGGGGGAGGGCGGCATTCCGACGGGGGCAGCCGGCATTAGTGCCCACAGCGGGCAGCTGAACTCAGATGATGTCTGGGTGGTGGGATGAGAAGGGTGAGGGGGCCAGAGGGGGATAACTAATTTAAAGTACAATGATGTGCTTGCATGTGTGAGGGTTGTACCAGTGCACACAACTTTGCCTGAATGTGTGGCTGAATGTGTGCGGTATATCACGTATGGTGCAAGTGTCTTTTGTTTCTATTCTTGAAAAGAAACTCTAAATTATGCATGTTGCCTGAAATAATCTAATAATAAAATACATTGATTAATAAAGATAATGTTAACTATTGTATTGCACAATAGTTCGGTCTTAGTACAAAAACTCAAACTTCATACACAAAGTCAAAAACACATACAGCAATAAATAATGCATGCTTCTGAGTTAATATGTGTCTCCATTCATTCTGTGTGTGTGCAGTGCGAGCTCGGAGTTTTAAGACACATGCATGTTTGTGTCCATGGCCCGATGGATGTGTGCTGGTAAATAGGCCACAGGCTGACAGGGGCACGGAGCCATTGTCCCTCTATTTAGCCTCATTCCAGCACTACACCACCGCCTGCTGACATGTCACCTACTTACCTGTTAACACACACACAAACACACACCTTGTCAGGATTAATCCTGACCCACATCTAAGTCAGATTAAAGGTTCAATATGATCAAACATAATCCAATTTTAGCAATTTCTCCTGTCTGCAAAGTTCTCTGTAATCCATGTTTTTTTTATAGCACATATAAATACATGCATGCACTGAAAACTCAATATTTATTTTCAATATTTTCAATTGCAACTATTTAATTTTTAAGCACCCAAATTTAATGACAAATTTGTTCTTGACTGTTTTTTTAAATAACAAACAGTTAAACAAAATACAAAAAATTCTGTTTTTAAAACTCAAATATTTAAGTTTTTTCTAAAGAAGTAAAAGTAAATTATTTCTACATAAGATTAGAGGTCAGCAAAAGTTAAAAAGTTTGAGTTTGATTTAAAATAAAAAAAATTGTGAAGACAGTTGCCTTGAAATAATTAGTTTTTTCACAGTGTACTGTACATACAATATAAGTGTCTTTTGTTTTACTTTCTTCTGAGTTTACGAGGCACACACACACATTTACTCAGGTAAAGAATGTTCACATATGAAACAAAGAGACACATCGCCTTCCTGTAGATTTTGCCTACATATGTCAGTCTGCAGTGTATGCAAACACACACGTATATAAAGTTAGAGTTTGTACCACACACTGATGTGATGATGATAGCTTTGTTTTGTCACCAGAGAAAGAGCGGGAGCTTATCCCCAGGGTGCATGTGAAGGTTGCTATTTGTCAGGATAAAGCTAAATGAACACACAGGCCTTCAGAAGTGCAGGTGAGGTGAAGGCAAAAATAATACTTAAAAATAGGCTAAATGTGACACTTTGCCTTTGTTTGTTTTGACTGATGTACTTAGTAAAAAATGTAATTAGGCATTCCAGAAGAAGACATTAGTTTCATTTATATTTATGCCATGATAGGACCCCACATTAGATTTCCCCATGAATATTTAGTACCGAAATATATATATATATATATATAATATCTGTGTGATTAGGCACTAAAATCATCATAGCACACACAATTCTCAACTGTGATTTGAACACTTCTGTTACTCTGTCACATAATTTAAAACACAGCGTAAGCCACTGGGTGCTGACCGGACACGCTGCAGTAACTTCTGACAGTCTGGTCATTTCATTCCCCCAGGAAAAGCGCCGCGCTTTGACGCCAATTTGACATAGTGGCTAAACTGTGTAATCACAGCAATGGTGTCCATCACACAAGCCCAAAAAGAATTATTCCCATAAGTGTACATTTTGAAAGAAACGTCTGTTTAAAGGGGAAATGAATAATTTCACTGTCAGGATTTGATCCATTCGGTCCAATAACATTTGAAAAGTTTAAAAGAGCAGCACGATTAAATCATTTTATCCCCGCCAGTTGTCTCTAGTGTGCTTTATGTGGGCTCTACAACATGGAAGTATATAGGGAAAATTCGGGTAATTTTATTTCGGGAAATTATACATTTTTGGCTTCATGCACCACTGAGCAGCTCCCAAAAGTATAAATTCAGCCCCGCCTCTATTGCTGTATCGTTTTCCCTTATTACATCCATGGGTCATTTGCTATCACTACAATGGAATCCAGCTAAGCTGCTAGCTAGCTAGCTGAAACAATGAAGAAATTGTATTCATGAGCATTTTCAGCTATACAGTCTTGAAAATAAAGTTACAATTAAAAGTTGTGAGTCATCTTAATACCTTTTGTTTGTTCATTCATTATTGTAAATTGACTGGTTTTGAGCCTCAAGTTATCAGGCGGCCATTGAGGTGGTAAATATTTTCCCCACAATGTATAATGTCTCTTCACTTCATCTGACTGCTGATGTAGAGGTTGGACTGCTTAAAAGTCAGACCCAAGTTCCTGGTTCCTGTAGCTCAAAACTTAGCACTGAGATGTAACTGATCAGACTTTGTTACTTTTATCCTAACATTGATAAAAATGTGAATTTTATTTTGAATTTACTTTATCTTCAACATTCTGGCAACGCGGCCCCTGTCATATTTGCTCCCACAAATTAATGACTCTGACAGCCAAACACATATTGTTGGTCTGCGCTTCACATTTTAAATAGGTGAATGAAATAAACTGCTCTATAGGACAGAGAGTTTTTGTTTTGAGATTTAGGGGGGTTACAAAAAAATAAGTGTAGGCATATGTCTCCTAACAACACTGGCCTTTAAAGGACCAGTGTGTGGGATTCAGTGGCATCTTTGAATACAGCTCAGCCTTCCAAACATGTAGGAGAAACTACGGTGGCTGAGCCAGTGTTTGGATTGGTCGTTCTGGGTTACAGTAGAAACTTGCCAGTTCGACCCAACGGACTCCAGAAAAGAGGACCACTCCTTCTGTAGATAAAAACAGCTCATTCTATCTTCACAAATATGTCCAAAAACAGTTTTCTCCTCTTTGAAAAAAAAGAGGAAACACCCACATTTCCTCACACAACTAACAAAGCTTACAGGAGCACGAGTTCCCAAACCGTAGCTCTCTGTGGCTTTCTAGTGATTAGAACACAGCATGTTGGTTCATTAGTTCAGTCCAGCCTTTTTCCAGTGCAATCTGAATCAACATGGCAGCACACGTGACGATGCATCGGGTCAGGTTGTTGGTTAGTAGAGTGGGTGTGTCCATGATCATGCAGGCACATCGACAGCCGTCACGGGGGAAGGTTAAAAGAAGGTGAAAAGGCAGTGGTGATGGTCATTCAGTAGCCATGGACACAACCTTTGACCTCGCATGATGATGGGACATACTTACGAAGAACATGCCTCCCTCCACCTTCCGGGCTCGTCTCCCTGTCACCTTGGCAAAATGACAGTTTGTTTTTATTCAGACAACATTCAATCACAACTGAGTTTCATTGACAATCCACCCAAAAATACTGCATCTGTTGTTGTTTACTCTTTTAATTATGCGTATATTGACCTATTATGATGGGTATTTCTTACACACACTGCTACGTAATCACAGTGGGAAACATGGGTCTCTTTACGAACGCTGCTCAGAGACAGCGTTGCAGATGTACGAGACCTTTGGGGAAGCTTATGCGTTAGAGTCAGTTTACTCCATGAATAACATGTCACACAGTCTGGGAGTGATCCCCAGATAGTCCAGTTCTTTGCTGCGATTTGATACTGGTAGTGTTAACAGCTTGCCCTCTCTCAGTGGGACTCTGGGAATGCATCAATCACACAGTACCTCTGCACAGGATCCCACAGGAACCCACAGGAACCCACAGGATCACCTACTACTTATTGATTCGTGTGATGGCCATTAACGCTAAACATTCATTCATGTTTGTTTTATGCTGAAATTAGGATTTTATGGCACCACATATCGTCCTGTACGGCACAAAAAAGGGAATTGTTGCCGAACCTTTCCCCTCCTCTCTTCCCCACTCTATATATTAATCCTGTCAGAGCTCTGCCAGGTCAGCAGGGCCTGTATCTGTGCATAACCCAGATCCATGAGTCATCAGTTATTTACATATCTGACGCCGTGAGACATCCCTCCCGTCCGCCCGAGAATTCAAAAGAGAAGAGGTGGAAGGGATTTCCAGACAGCAGACAGGGAGAGAAAGAACAGGGGGGGAGAAGCGGTGAGGAAAATAAAGAGGTGAGAATGTGAGCAGAAAGTGACGGGGTGGGGGTGAGTTGCAGTGGGGAGAGGGGGGGCTGATATTTATAGATAAGTAAAAGGCCAGTGATGATGCAGTCTGTTCAGGTCTGGCAGATATAGTAACAGAGAAGTGTGACTGAACACTGGCAGTAACAGCAATGTTAATGTACGGGTTCGTCTGAAATCAGGCCAATATTTATCACATTATTATTATCACACTTCTGCTGCGATGTTGTTTGGTTACATATTAAGTCTTAACATTTTATTTAGTCATAGTATTTGATCTGTGTTGCTTTGTGCATCTTATAGGGAAAAAATAACCTGAATAGTCATTTTGATAAGGTTATATGGCATTTGTCAACATAAATACAGGCATACGTTCATCCTCAGTCAAGTTGATCCGCACAAAAGATGACAGAGCTGTTGATATATTACTAAAAACACAGGCAAAGTAAGGCTAAATCACAGTCAAGAGATAAGGCAATGAATGATACATACATACAAGACGTTTTATCCAAAGAATGAAAACAGATTTTATAAGCTGTAGCTTGCTAACTAATTAAGCTAACGGTGACCCATTTAAAAGATTAAAAAATTAAGAAATAGCATTTCTTGTTTTACAGTGTAGAGCTGGTTATTCCTAGTACCTGAGTATGATAAAAAAAAAAAAGTAAACTCAAACTCTTATTTATTTATTTAAACACAAGTTGCTGTTTAACCCTGCTTCATGTAAGCTTAAAGACAGAGGTTTCATTTATGCTTTTATTTTCAAACAGTTGGCTATGTTTGCTGGAGTATAATGAAAAACCACACAATGGACATGCTGTGCTTATATTTTAATGTAACCTGACTCCATAAACCTAGCCCCACACAATGGAGTTACTTAATGAAGTGCTCCTTGGGCTGGATATAGGTTACTACTGTAGGAAGTAACACCCTGTTCAATTCAATTCAATTCAATTTTATTTGTATAGCACTAATTCATAACAGAAGTTATCTCAGGACACTTTTCAAATAGAGCAACTCCTTATAACATTATTGATGTTGATTCCAGTCTTTTTGGTTCTATGAGAGGAAAAAGTAAAAATTTAGTTTTTTTCTTTCCAATCAGTCTATTTAATTATTCATTATTAAAAATATCTGCTTAAAACCAACTATCCCACCTTTTCCAGCCTTGGTCCTCACCGTCAGACTCAATGTAGATACGAAGTGGCTTTAATTTAATATGAATGCTTCCTAATTACAGTGACCTGGCAGTGGCCGTTAATCAAGATGATATAACTAAAATTAAATGAAAGAAGTGAATTAGCACTGCCTTTCTTTTTAATGAATGATGCTCCTGCCTGCTGTTGAGTAAAAGCTCCCATTACTAAAAAGAAAATGTAACACCTTCTATTATTATCTGTTATTTATCTTTTATATTCATTTCCTTAGTTAGCCAATTATGCATAAGGGGGCTGTCATCCATTAAAAAGTTCTACAGAAAACGCGTCATTAGGTGAATTTAATTTTTGTGAGACCGTTTGACATATTTAGCATCTAGCAAGAGATAAGTGAACATATGCACACAGTATAAAAGCTAAGAAACAAAAAATAAAATCAAGTTTAATGTGCTGACATCTATTACTATCTACTATGTGGGCTACATAACACGAACACAAAATGATGTACGGAACATACTTTATTCTGCTCAGTTCTAACTGTCATTCATTTCAGTAAAAGCCCTGTAATCTGTGTGGTCCATTACCTCTGCTGAATAATCACATGCAGTAATGTGAGAGCACAGTTAAACCCCCCCAGTGTACAGCGTCTCAGATGAAGGCAGAGATGGATCTGTGCTATCCATTAAGCCAGTGTCATATCTTTATTACAGTCATATATAGCAGTGATATTTGGATTGATAGTTAAGCACTAATGGATGTTTACAGTCTGTAAATACACCAGTGTGGACACACTAATCCCGAAGCAGCAGAGATTACTCGATCAGCTTTTAGCTACTTTTAGCTCTAGTGTCAGGTGTTTTTGTTTTATGTATATAATTACAATAATTCTGTTTCCTGTTCGCTGATTCCCTGGAAATGCTGGTGTCCTGTGCACTGTATTGAAGTCATGCAGTGCTATAAACAGCACTAAACCCTGCCACTGAGGCTAGTTCATTTGTCAGCTCAGATTCGTGTTAACCTTTTGCAAACTGGACTTTTACTTCTCAGAAGTTTCTCAGAAGCAAAGTTGCACTGGAGGTAGAACTATGGATGTACTAGGTAAGTGAAAACTATTTGGAAAACCTTACTAAATAATAAATAAATAGTAATAATAAATAAATCAAAGTCAGCTATATTAGCTGCTTATTGACTTTCACTAAAGAACACCTGCAGTGTGTCACTTAAAAATACCCAGTTGTCACATGATCCAGCTCTATACAACACTCCTGCAGCATGCAGTCATTGACACGCAAAGTGTTTTGATTGATCATGTACGTTGTCCTATTAATATGCTAGGAGTTTAGTTTCGTGCTCATATTTAGTCATACATCATCCTTTAATGTCAGGAAGAGTCAAAATGCTGTCATTAATTAAACTAAATAAGATATGACTCACCCTTTGGACCAGAGTCCAGTGAAAAAGTCAAGTGATGACAATCTAGAGTTCAATCTAGACAGTACATTATGTAGATTAGCTTGTTAGCCTAGCCTCTAAAATCTTGAATGTCATGGGAGAAGGTGAACTACTAACTCTCACAGCTAATTACTGGCTTTTAGATGTCGTATGTGTTTGCTATTAAAATTCCATTCATACTTGAATGGAATGACATCAGGGCGTAATATGAGTTGACACCAAACTCGGTGGCTTCAAAAACTCTCAGATTCACTTTCTCCCTCTCACCTCGTCTAACCCCCTGCACCCACCCGCCCCCCGTTTTTCAGCTACGCTTTAAGCTGCACGTGGGCGATGTAAACATCTGACTCGAAGGACTAAGCTGAGGAACGCAGCAACAGGAGGAAGACGGGGGAATCTTGGGAGGGATTGTGTTGTCCAGTAAATATCTTAACAAGAGGCCTTTGCACTCTGATGGTAGCCTCTCAAAACACCCTCTAAAGGTCCAGATGGCTAACAAACACAGACACACTGACAGATGCACTGACATTTAGGAACGGTCGGTGAGACTTACTGGTTTGGGCTTGGTGGTGAGGCCCAGGTGGTCTTGATCGAACTCTTCTTTCTCTTCCCATGATGCTCTGTTGTCCCCGTTGGACGAAGGGCCAACTTTGAGCTCCTTGACCTGTCCGCTCATCACCTGCACAGGGTCCAGACTCATCACTCTTCACCATAGAGAATCCCCCTCTCTGTGCTCCCAAAGGTGCCCTCCAACCTCTCCCTCACTTCTCTACTTTCAAAGACAGTTTAGTTCTTCGGCAGACTCAAATGAACCAAATATCCCGTTACAGTTTTTTTTTATACTCTGTAAGCCTGTTACATTGATAACAGGCTTACTACTTGCTTGCGCCTGCCCTGTGAAAGCAACCAAAGTGTGTTCACTCTTCTGTTTCCTATTCACTTGTCTGTATCCTTTTTTTCCTCAAGAGGATTATTGCTCACAGCGTCCAATTCCAGAGCACATGAACAACATTCACCCATTCACAAGCATTCTCTGGGATACACACCGTCACACATACAGTCTATCCTTTGTAAGTGTGTTGCAGGCAGTGTTGCAGCGGTCCATCTGCTGCTATCTCTGTGGCTCTCTCTTTTCCCCACTCAGTGCCCCCCTCCCTCTCTGTCCCATTCAATCACTCTCTCGGCTTCCCTGGCTTCGTTCATGCCCCTCCGTCGCCCCTCCGACCAATCACAGCCCTGCTTCCTTATTCAGCATGGCTCCGCCCCCCTGCTGGCTCTTGTTGACAGTGCAGTTTGCCCAAGAGGCTCATGGGACGTTCAGGCACACACTAAGCACACAGCAAAAAATAGCCATCATGATGAGCCATTTAATCTGGTGGCAAATTGTTTTTGTTTTTTTTAATAGGCGACATGGACTGATTATTATTTAACCCTTTTAAGAAACAAAATACATTTTTAAAACTTGGTAAAACATTGGCAGGGTTTGACTTTAACACTTCACATGATTTTTCAAGGGTAAATCCCTATTCTCATTGATTTTACTCTCTCTAACATGGTAGCTTTGAACTATACACATTTGAGGTTTTTAGTCATCCATATTAGCTGGAATGTAACAAAAGCAGTGACAGGCATAGGGAAGTAAAAATAAGTGTTATTTGAGAAAGATAGTTGGCTGAGAGAAACAGAGGGAGTAAGGGAGGGGTTGACCAGGGAATTGTAGTTAAATTAGCCTAAAGGTAGCAGATAATGGATGTAACCTTCATTTAAAATCAAGGTTGTAGACCGAGTTAAGCACAGGGCCATTAGTGTCCTTACTCATGCACGGTGCCACGGCTTACAACAGCCTTTGTGGTTTGTTGCCATGTTTCTTGCAGAGGTGGCTTTACAAATTAATTTATCTTTTAATCACAAGGAAATTAATGCTTTTGTCCCGCCATGGCTAGTTGAAATCCCTGATGATATCTGCAATATGTTTGTCCAAACCGGTGCGACCGGTTGACACTGTACTCTACCCGGATATTGGTTTCACTTTATGGCCAGTGCAGTTAATAATTCATTTCTAAATTTCACTCATATTTGCAGCACATTTTGAACTATTGCCATAGCTTTAACTCTGACTTTAAACACTGCTGGAGCTTCTGTGAAACCAGATAAACACATCTGTGTTGTACTTGGTTCATTTATGGTGAACAGTTAGTTGTGTATTTGATGTGCTGTAACCACATTTATTGTTTGGGGGGTTTTAGACTGTTAGTCAGATAAAACAAGAAATTTGAATATTTGTCTATGGAGCCCAGAAACTGACAAACAGACAAGTCAAATATATCACTAAATGCATAGTTATAACAAAAATGTATAAAGAAGCTTTAAGCTCCAATCAGAGCTACTTGCGTAGTGCGGTAATTTTAGCAGTGTAGTGTTGTCTCAAATCGAACACCGCTGTTGTGCACTTACCGGAAATAACGATCGCAACATTTACTGCGAAACCTTCTTCTTCTACGCTGATTTACAACCAGACGGAGCATTAGCCCTAATACCAGCTAATTTTTCATTGGATTTCTTCACAGTATTATTCCAAAATGAACCTGAAAAATTACACCGTCTACACCGTAGCTGTCTCACGAAAATGTACCGGTATTGTGCCTTAGCACAGCCTGTTAATTCATTCTGTAGCACAATTTAAGGTCCAGTGTGTACTGTTTAGGAGGATCTATTGGCAAAAATTGAATATAATATTTATAATATTTCATAATAATTGTTTTCATTAGTGTTATAATCACCTGAAAATAAGAATTGTGTTTTCATTACCAATTTTTATCTACAGAGGAATCAGGTTCCCTTTCAAGGAGTATGCCATGTTTCTACAGTAGCCCAGGACAGATAAACCAAATACTGACCTTACGTGTTTATGGCCTCTTTAGTTTCTCCTGCGAGGGAAAAGTGAGGTGAGTTGGTTGCAATCAACTACACCTAGATGCTACTAAATCCTACACACTGGTCCTTTAATATTTAAGCATATGGTCTGAGTATTTGATTGAGGTCAGAGATATCAGGGCCAATAACAGTCACCTTTGATTAAGTTGAAAAAAGTGTAGTAAAAATCAAATAGTTGCTAAAATTGCAAAGGTCATGGAAGTTAAATCAGATTTATTTATACTGAAGACTGAAGACTAACAATAGACTTTCCTACACTGAAGAAGACAGCTTTTATTTGTTTTAATTATAATTTGCATTTGTCCTTTGGTATTTGATTATATTTGCATATTGGTATTAGTAGTAGTAGTACTACATGTAGCAGCAGAAGTCAAAATGATATAATCTACATAATTATTAGCATTATTCAGTGCTAGTGGAACTGCTTTTGAAAAGCTTTGTAGATTAATATGTTTCTTTCTTTCTGTAACACAATTTAAAAGAGTTTAAGGAGCAGTGATTTAGTATTGCACTTCCACAAAGGTTGGAGGATTGCAAGAGACACATTTAAAAATGAATGAATGAAATGAATCAAAACTGAAGCAGGAGATGCCAAGATATCAAGTTCCCTTTAGTACAGGTCAAGGTCCAGTCCAGTATGCAACTTCTATTTTAAGGATTTTAATTAAATATATCAGACTCAAATTATTGTTTCAAGCAGACTATTATGTATATGTTGTAATACATGTCTGGAGAGGATTTTTAATAAAGCTTCTTCAGGGCCACACAAGATATTATACAACATTTCTTCACACATTGAGTAGTGCTTCTCGTGACGGGTACTCGTGCCCCTTTAATGTTGAATGCCTCTCTAGATATATCTGGGCCAGTGACAATGACCTCTGATGATGAACTTCTGTGATATGAAATAATAGCTGATAGCAACAAGACTGACAGTAAGGAGTAGGGAGTTGAGTAGAAGTGGTTGGACAAGGTAGTAGTATCAGTAGTATCAGTAGTACTAGTATAACCACTGATGGTAATGGTAGCAGTAGTAGTAGTGGGAGGTGGAGTCTTCTTCTGTCCATTGCTCTTCATTCGTCCACACAGGGTTTGTCAGCTGGACATTCACAGAGCGAGGGAAGGTTGCTTAGCAGCCTTGTCTGTCCGCTTCCTCATGGGTCAGTGTGATGGTGACTTAATGTGTTCTTTTGTAGATAAAAGCCAATGTGTGTCACTCTCTTTACACCAAATCATTTTAGATATTTCCGTGTATGTCTTCCCTTTGCTCTTTCTCTGTTGCTTTGTTTTATATGAACACAAGAATGTCTTAAGGGAACTAAACAGCTGACCTTCGCATGCATGTCACTGACATTAGGACATTAGAGTTGAGAGTGTCTGAGCTAACAGCCCCATCCTGTGGCCGCTCTGCAAACTGCACCTCTTTGGCATGACCTCTATTGCTGCAGTGTGATTCACTGTTTCACTGCTGCCCGGCCCGTGCGTGTGCATTTCTGTTGTTTGGTTTTCCACTGAGCTGAAGCCTAACACAGCGAGGCTCAGAATAGATTTATATTGATCCGTGATGGATGACTGGAAGCGGGGCAATGGAAAACGAGGGTTTAGCCAGCAGTTCAAACAGAGGAATGGACTGAAACCAGAAAGCTGAGACCCAAAATTGTGATTGTGGATTAATTAACGTAAGCTTTATCCTTCATAACCAGATTATTTTTTTTATCATATGGCAGTGTGGTGAGTATTCAGTGTTTCTGGGGTCTTCTATTAGAACGATCTATTGTCACACCAGGAAAGAAAACCACATGAATTCAAATGAAAGCTTAAATTAAGTAAGCATTTGAAAGACAGGAAATTGACTTCCCTTTCAGCACAAAAAGTCCTTGTTAGTGTTTCCGTCTCTCGTGGAAATTGCGTGTCCACACTGGTGCATAAAGTCAAAGCTCAATCTTCCTGAGTGATTTAATTGTGCTCTATAATTTCTCCATTGCTGTCCAGCTGAGTAAATGAGATACCAGAAGCAAAATTAATTTCCGCAGTCATCAAACATTTCTCCGTGAATTACGACTCTACGCGTATGTATAAATATGTGTCGTAATATAGGTGTGAGCGTGTGCTTTGTGTGTGTGTGTTTGTGTGTTTATGTACTCCCTGGCTTGTGGCCTCAGCATGGTTACCATGAGAACAGCATGACTGGTGACATCACTGCAGCAGTGTGACATCATTGCTAGACGGTGACTCATACTCTCTGCTCACTGTTGTGTGTGTGTGTGTGTTTCAATGCGTGAGGATGCTCTCGGAGGGAACACATGGACCAAGGCAAGACGACAACAACTCCCGACATCCATGTGTTTTATTCTATGTAACAAAAATAATTACATTGTCTTTGTTCTAGGAGCCTAACAGTATTGAAAACAAAACAAAAACAAAGGCAAAATTATCAGACGGGACAAAGAGACGTTTACATGAACATCATAGAGAAATGTTGAAGAACAGAATTATATTGCACAATCAAGCACAAATGATCCCCAGTTAAAAGAAAAGTATCCGTGTTGATATTGGTGTCACACAGCTCAGGTCAGCCTGTCTGTCCAGAGACTGACAGCTGATGAACTGCAGCACATGTGATCAACACAGCATCCCTTCATGTTTAACTCCACCCGACACAGCAGTCATGTTTCAGTCTACTCATGTGACACAGTCCCATCTTTGGCACATAAAATCTACAGAGTGAATGCTGAATTTTTTGTCGTGTGTAGTTTTCAATTGGACACTGCATGAAAAAACAGCAGGTGAGAAAGCAAACAACAAAAACAAAAAAAAAACATTTATTGTGTCTGCAATCTCGGGGGAGGAAGGTGGCTCTCTCTCTCGCTCTGAACCGGTGCTAATTAGGATGGACAGAATCTAATAAGCGGAGGCGTGCGGAGATCAACACATTGTGAAGCCACTTTGTGAGCCAATCTGTTCTAATCAACAGTTTTTACCGCATAGCGCTCAGCGTAGAACAGGATGATTAACCGAGCCTGCGACAATGATATAGTGAGTCAAAACAAGAGGCGGCAAAACACATGGGGCTGTATGGGTGACCAATTGCACACAGCAAACAATTTGCAAGACCTTCATTCTGCTACTGTCGACCTTAATCTCACATCTTTGTTTTTCTTAAAATACGTGCAAACAAATCTGCCAGTAGAGTGACTTGGAAAAAAAGACAATTTCATTAAAGCTGCAGTAGCTAACTTTTAGAAAAATAAAGTTTTGTCGTATTTGCTAAGAAAAAGTGGTGGATTTTTGAGTCGTCAAATACCTAATATC